TAATGAGATTTGGTGACCCACTATGTCACTGATTTCCAGAGTATTGCTGAGAAATCCATGCCACCCCTCCCACCTCAGTTATGCTCTCTTTCACCCTTTTCTGTGGGTCAGAAGATATAAAAGTTTGAATACACATATGAACAGATTCAAGAACAGCTCCTTCCCCGCTGTTATCAGACTTTTGAATGGACTTCTCAAGTGTTAATTCTGATCTCTCTATCTTCTCTGCAACTGTAACACTGTACTCTGCACTTTGTGCTGCTACCCTGATGTACTTTGTGTGGTACAATCTGCCTGTATAACACACAAAACAACACTTTTCATTACATCTCAGTACATGTGACAACAATAAATTAATTAATCAATTCTACAATTTGATCTTCTTTATTGGGTGCCATCATAAAGACATGGCTATAAGAAGGTAAAGACCAGAACCTGAAAATTCATTGTTAAAAGACATTTTGAAAGAACAGGAAGCTAGGCAAAGGTAGAGGGCTAGTTCTATTAATTAAGGCTGGTATTGATACAATACAGAGAGATGTAGTAGTTTGGATAGAAATAAGAAATAACAAAGGCAAGAAGTCAGTTGTAAGGTTAATTCCTAACAGCAAACATACTGGTACATTTGGTTAGGAAACTGGTCAGTAGATAAAGCAGGAGAGTGGCAGATATTTAAAGAGATATTTCGGAATACACAAAAAATACATTCCAATTAAAAAGATTCTAAAGGAAGGATGCTAAAAATAGCATCAAACTGGAATAAAAAGCCATACGATTCCATAAAGATTGAACAGAAGAACAGCAAAGAATTAATAAAAGACTAATAAGGCAAAATTGGATTATGAGAGAGGTCCAGCTAGAAATGTAAAAAAAAGCAAGAGTTTTATAGATATTGAAATAAACAGTAAGTAAACTGAATATTGGTCTTACAGAGAATGTTTGGGGAATTAATAATCAAAAATTGGAAAATGACAAGTGAATCGAACAGATGTCGTGTTTCACTGTACAGAACACAAATAAAATTCCAGAAATAACCGAATCAAAATGTGAAAGGGAGCAAGGAACTCAGGACAACTTACTCAGCATATTTTCCCTCTTTATTGGAATGGTTTTACTAAAACCTAACAAGTCCTTTAACCCTGATGAGCCTCAACCTAGGGTGTTAAAAGAAGTGGCCACATTGATTTTAATTTTCCAAAATTCTTCCGATTCCAGAAAGGTCCCATCAGATTGAAAGATAGCAAATGTGACTCCTGTATCCAAGAAAGGAAGGAGATGAGGGGCACAAATCAGAGAAACATAAGCTAGTTAGTCTAACATCTATCATCACGAAATGCTGGAAACCATTGGGTTTATAACCAAGGTTATAAAAAGGCACTCAGAAATCTTAATGCAATAATGTATATTCAACATGATTTTGAGAAAGAGAAATCATGTTTGACTGGTTTATTGCAGTTCTTTGAGGAAGTAACAAGCAAAAGGGAAACAGTGCATGTACTATACTTATATTTTCAGAGGCATTTGAGAATTAAAAGGTTATTACACAAAACAAGAGCTCATAGTATAAGAGATAACATGGCATGGAGAGAGAATTACTATCTATGGAGAGAGGATTGTTTGGGTAATAGGAAACAGAGCTTGTATATAAATGGTGATTTTCTGGCTGGTAGGATGTGATGAGTACCCAACAAGAAGATCAGGGCTTCAGTTAGTTACAATGCATGTATGTACGACTTGTGACAAGATGCATGGTCGATAAATTTGCTTGATAATATAAGGATACGTAGGAAAGTAAGTTGTGAAAGAGCTTAAGGAGTCTGCGAAGTGCCATAAGTTAAGTGAGTGAGTAATATTTGGCAGACAAAATATAATGTGAGTAAATGCAAACTTGTCCACTTTGGCAGAAGGAATAGAAAACCAGTATATCATTTATCCTAGCACAAGTTCAAACAGGTTAGTATACAGTTGCAGTAAATGATTAGAAAGGCAAACAGAACGTTGTCGTTTCTCCAAGGAGAATGGAATATAAAAGTAAAGAAGCTTTACTATAGTTTTATAGAACTTCAGTGAGACCACATTTAGAGTACTATGTACAATCTTTAAGAAAGAATGAAAATGTAAATGAATCTTAAGAGAAAGCTCACTTAACTGATACATGGGATGGGAAGGATGTTGTCTTATGAGGAAAGATTGAACAGGCTGGGCCTATATCCAATGGAGTTGAGAACAATGAGCGGTGATTTTATTAATACGTTTAAAGATCCTTTGGGGACTTGACAAGATGCTGAAAGGTAGTTTCACTTGTGAGAAAAACTATGACTAGGAGGAATTCCTATTAAAGGAGCAGAAAAGGAGGAATGCTCTTCTCTTGGAGATAGTAGGAACTGAAGATGCTGGAGAATCTGAGATAACAAGGTGTAGAGCTGGATGAACACAGCAGGCCAAGCAGCATCAGAGGAACATGAAAGCTGCCGTTTCGGGCCTCAACCCTTCTTCAGAAAATAACAAGCTCTACACCTTGTTATCTCAATGTTCTTCTCTTAGCAGTTCATGAAACTTCGGACTCTTTCCCAGAGATTAGTGGAGGCAGGGTTACTGAATACTTTTATGGCAATGGTAGGCAGATTCTTGATTAACAAGGGAGTCAAAGGACATTGGAGGTTGGGGGAACGTGGACTTGAGGCCACAATAAGATCAAACACGATCTTATGAAATGGCTGGGCAGGCTGAGGGGCTGAATGGTATGCTTCTAATTCATAACTTCACAAAATGACTGTGCACTTTAACCAGCAATTTAAAAAAAAAATCACCATTAATATCAAGTTAAATCAAATACCAGACAACAATGTCATTATGGAGAAGGAAAAAGAACAAATATCACATTGGTGGCATAAGGAAATAAATCTACAGTTGCTTTATAAACAGATCTCATTTATAAAAACAAAACAAATGTTGCTTACAGTATGAATTATTGTGATAAACTGACCTTTGCACTCTGACATGTACCTGTTTCACAAGGAAAGTAAGTAACTGCAGTCAGACTTTATAAGGTTGTGCTATTATTGGAGATCACTTGACTAGAACAACAATAACATTAAAACTAGATCATGTTGTACTGTGATCCTGGAAGACAAATTCAGTCCATCAATCATTTATTGAGTTTATACAGCAAATAATAAAGCCATACAGGCCAGGAAATTTCAGGTTAGGCTGTAATCAGTGTTCAACTGGAGGATCACAGACAACACAATTTGCCTCAAACTTGTATTTGGTGCCGCTTCTGTGGGGATGTGAGAAATGGGTACAGAAAACAAGCAAAGTTCCCACTGCTGACATCCATATAACAATCTCTTCTGGATGTGTGCATGTTGGGTAAGATCACAAACTGGGTTATTTAATAGTTTGCAAACATTCACTAAAGGCTCCTCTTAAGTAACAATCAACTGGGTGAGATACCAGTGACATTAGTGAAATTGCACCTTTATTTATTGTATTGAATTTTCATTCATTGGGCATTGTTGGCAAGCTCAGTATTTATTACCCATCTCCACTATCCTATAAATAAGTAAACACCTTCAGTAGAAGAACAGGAGGAGAACTAGCAAGTTTAAGAAAAGTAAAATCTATTTGTGATGTTACCTAAAATAAGATGGAGTTTTGTATCTGTCTGAAAAGCATAATGTAATGTGACAAGGAAAGGTGATTGTCGAATGTGTTCCAATACTTGACGCTCTGTCCTGGTGTGCTCTGCAGTCTTTGCTTTTTGAACTATTGTTGCCTTCTTCAGCACCTTCATGGCAAAAAGCTTTCCGGTGTCGTGACCACTGATTTTCCTCACAAGAAATACTTTTCCATAAGCTAGAAACAGAAGAAAAGGCAGAGATATAAAGAACATACACCAAATTAATGCTTGCAATGAAATACTGTTCATAGAGTCATACAGCATGGAAACAGACCCTTCGGTCCAATTAGTCCATGCTGACCATGTTCCCAAACTTAACTAATCCCCACCTGCCTGCGTTTGGCCCATATCCCTCCAAACCTTTCCTATTCATGTATGTCTTTTAACATTGTAACTGTACCTGCATCCACCACTTCCTCTGGCAGTTCATTCCACACACTAACCACTCTGCGTTAAAAAAGTTTCCCCTCACATCCTTGTTAAATCTTTCTCCTCTCATCTTAAAAATATGCCCCCTAGTTTTGAACTCCCCCACCTTAGGGAAAAGACCTTTGCTATTCACCTTATCTATGTCTCTCATGATTTTATAAACCTCTACAAATCGCCCCTCAACCTCCTACGTTCCAGTGAAAAGAGTCCCAGCCTACCTTTATAGCTCAAACCCTCCATTCTTGGCAATATCCTGGTAAATCTTCTCTCAACACTCTCCTGTTTAATAACATCTTTCCTGTAATAAAGTGACCAGAATTGCATTCAGAAGTCCAGAAGAGGCCTCACCAATGTCCTGTACAACCTTAACATGACATCTCAACTCCATACACAATGGTACAAATGGATCTCATCTTCTCCTTGCCCACCTCCTTGCCTTTGTGATCACTTCCAACCTGTTACATCTTTTTCCAGCTCTGTTGAAAGATCTTGAGACTGAAGGGAAGTAAGGCATTCAGCCTTTCAAGCATCGATCAACTTGATCATTGACATCAACTTGAGCATTAACTCTGTTTCATTCTTCACAGATACTACCAGATCTGTTGAATATTTCCATCATTTATTGCTATTGTTTATATTTCCAACAACTGCAGTGTTTTGCTTTCATTTTATTGTTCTATGAAACTGTCTTAAATGCAATTAATCTAATTAGTCCAGAATGTATGAAATGTAAAGTTCGCCACAATTATTGCATTGCCTTTATAAGTTCCTCCTCTTCCTTGATTTCTACTTTGCCTAAAGTTATAGTTACATTTGAGGGCCTATAAACTACTCCCACCAGTGTGCTTAGCCACTTCTATTTCACATATCTGTAGCAACCGGAATGAAGTCAGCCAAGTGGACATCGTAGAATACGAGTTCCCTGATTGGGGCTGTTAATCTGGTCCAATCAGGGAGCCCTGGCTGACAGATACAAACAGGAGTGTCGGGGTTCCATACACTCTAGGAGCTGGCTCTGAGCTAGCTGGGTCAGCATCATGTACTATGCACATACAAATAACAGGTGAATTAGTGACGGGGTACTGGCCTCCATGGAGTTATTTCAATATCCATTGATTCAGGTTGTTTCCTGATCTCTCAAGCCATGTTTATTCTGTATGACTGTCTGCATATTGCATATCACTTTTTAATCAGGGTTACCACCCCACTATTAGTTCCCAACTGTGCTATTAGATCAAACATATTTAGCTTTATATGTGTCACTAATTTATCTACCTTAGGAATGTTTTGCATATTCAAACAAATACCTTAAAACTTTTTGGTATATACCTTGATTTATCCTTATTCAATAATGAAATATTCACGCTAAACTCTGTCTTTTCCGGGCCCATTCTACTCATCTTCACCAACTTGTGAAACTAATTCATGTACTTGACTTACTTCTTCAGATTTAATGAATTATTTCAAGTGAAATGTGGAAATTCCACCTTTAGTTTCAAAACAATTTATTTAATTTTCTGGGGCACAAGTTCCAACATAGTTTAAATGTAACCTGTTCCAGTAGAACAGGTCCCTCTTTCCCCACTACTGATGCCAGTACTCCATGACCTAAACCTTCATCTCCCAAATCACTAGGGACAGGATACTATAGCAAAGGAACCAAAACAGAAAGAGTTCAGCCATGTGCATTTCAAGAGAGCAAGGTGAAACTAAACATAGAATCATACAACCGTTACAATGTGGAAACAGGCCATTCAGCCCTTCATGTCCACAGCAACCCTCCGAAGAGCATCCCACCCGGACAGACCACCCTGTATTTCTCATGGATAATCCACCTAGCCTGCACATCCTTGGATACTATGGCAATTTAGCATGGCCAATCAACTTAACCTGCACATCTTTGAACTTTTGGAGGAAACTGGAGCAACCAAAGGAAACCCACACAGACACAGGGAGAATGTGCAAACTCCACACAGTCGCCTGAGGATGAAATCAAATGCGGGTTCCTGCCACTTTAAGGTAGCAATGCTAACCACTGAGCCGCCCCCAAGAAAGCTCTCTATTTTTATGCTAGGTATATTGTAGATGAGACAGATGAGTTCAGGGCAATTGATTGATACATGGAATTAAGTTACTATTGCTATCATAGGGATGTGACAACACAACATTACAGGGTGTAGGATCTTCAGGCAAGACAATTATGGTATTATTAATTAAATAGTCAGTTCCTACAGTAAGAAGGAAGAGTACTTGGAAGGATCTTCAAATGAGGCTTTGCAGGTAGAGCTTAGGAATAAAAAAAAGAGCAATCACATTGTTATTACGGTATCATAGGCCTCCAAACAGTCAGTAAGCAAAAGAGGAGCAGATCTATACACACTGAGGTGTCAAAATAATACTAATACGGTACTTACATTAGACGATTTCAACTTGACAAACAGCAACTGGGATACACATAGCATAAAGGGGTTAGAAGGGATAGATTTCTTGAGTTGCATTCAGAACAGTTCAACATGTAGAATGTCCAACAAGGGATGGTGCAGTACTGACCTAATTCTGGCGAACAAAGGTGGACAAGTTTTCAAGGTGACAATGGAATGAGTGTTGGATTAGTGGAAGGTAGATTTTATTCAAATAAGGCAGGATTTGGTTAAAGTTTACTGGAAACAGCTACTTATAGGAAAATATACAACAGAGCAGTGAGGGAGGCGGGGTGAGGTGCTCAAAAAGGAAATGGGAAGAGTACAGTCCAAACATGGTCCTTTTAGGGTGAGATGTATCAGCAACAAGCCAAGAGGACCCTGGATATCTAGAAATATTCAGGACTTCATAAGGAAAACAAAAAGAGGCTTTTAGCAGATATGGAAGGAGCAAAACAATGGAGGGCCTAGTGGGGTATTGAATGTGCAAGGGGGGAACATAAGAAAGCAATTAGGAGAGCAAAGAGGGGGCATGAAGACATATTGGTGGAAATATATTAGGGGAAAAAGGGTAACCAGGAAAAGAGTAGGGCCCAGTAGGGACCAAGAGGGCATTCTGTACTTGGAGTTGGAAGACATTGGTACTTCTGTCTTCAATGTGGAAAAGGAGGAAGTAGGTGTGGAATTCAGGAAGAGGGACTGAGAGGTTCTTGAGCAGTTTGACATAGGGAGTGAGGAGGTGTTAAAAGTTTTGGCGCGCTTAAAAGTGGCTAAACCCCCAGGTGTGGATGAGTTGTATCCTTGGCTGCTGTGGAAGATGAGAGAGGAAATAACAGGGGCTCTGACCCAGATCTTTAATTCCTCTTTCACCATAGGGGAGGTGCCAGAGGACTGGAGGACAGCTAATATGGTTCCACTTTTCAACAAAGGTGTTAGAGATAATCCAAGGAATTACAGATCAGTGAGTCTCACATCAGTGGTAGGGAAATTCTTGCGGAAAATTCCGAAGGGGAGAATTAATCTTCACTTAGATAGGCAAGATTTGATCAAGAATGGTCAGCATGGCTTTGTCAGAGAGAGGTCATGACTAACAAATTTGATAGAATTTTTTCAAGGTGGTGATCAGGTGTGTACATGAGGATACTACAGTTGACATAGTTGTATGGATTTCAGCAAAGGCTTTGATATGGTCCACATAGGAGACTGATAAAGAAGATAACAACACATAAGATTCAGGGTAACTTGGCAAGGTGGATCTAAAAGTGGCTTACTAGAAGAAGATGGTGGTGGAAGGTTGTTTGTGTGACAGGAAGCTGGTGCCCAGTGGCATACCACGGGGAACAGTGCTGGGTCTCTTATTGCTTACAATATATATTACCGATATACATGAGATTGTAAGGGGAATGATAAATAGGTTACAGAAGACACAAAGATTGGCCGAGCTGTTAACAGTGAGGATGAAGGTCTTAGGTTACACAAAGACATAGACTGGTCAGATGGCATTTAACCGTGGTCAGATGGGCAGATTAATGGCAGATGGAATTTAACTCTGACAAGTGTGTGGTGATGTACTTTAGAAAAAGTGACAAGGAATGGGAGCGCTCAATGAATAGCAGGGCATTAGGAACTCAGAGTAACAGTGCTTGTCCACAAATCCCTGAAGGCAACAGGACAGGTTAATTAGGTAGTTAAGACAACATATAGGATACCTGCCTTTATCAGTTAACGGTATAAATTATAATAGCAGGGAGGTTATATCGGTGCTGTACAAAACTTTAGTTAGGCCACACCTGGAGCGTTATGTGCAGTTCGCATTGCCTCACTACTGCAAGGAGATTCACCAGAATGCTGTTAGCATTGGAGTATTTTAGCTATGAAGAGAGGCTGTATAGGCTTCGGTTGTTTTCTTTAGAGCAAAGGCGGCTGAGGAGCACCTGATTGAGGTATATAAGATTATAAGGGCCATGGACAGGGTTGATATGAAGCAGCTGTTCCCTTTCATTAAGTGTCAATAACAAAGGGGCATAATTTTATCGTGAAGGGTAGGATGTTGAGAGGGGATTTGAGGAAAGGTTTTTGCACCCAGTGGGTAGTGAGAATCTAGAATGCACTGCCTGAGAGAGGATTGAAGGCAAGAAAACACGACCTTTAAAAAGTACATGGTTGAGCAGTTGAAATGTCACAACATTCAAGGCTATGGACCGAGTACTAGAAAGTAGGATTAATTTAGATAGGTCAGTGCAGAATTGATGCAGCGAAGAGCTTTTGCTATGCTGTATGATTATGACTCTTTGAACCACACTCTTTGCCAATTTACATGGAATTAA